TGTCAGAGTGTCCTTCCTTCCTAAGGCTGAATAATATATTCCATGTGCGTGGATTCGCCACATCTTGTTTATCCAGCCATCTGTCCGTGGACACTTGCGTGGCCTCCCGTGACGCTGCTGTGAATCTGAGTGTGCAAGAATCTTCTGGAGCTCCTGCTTTCTGTTCTTTCGGGTAGATACTCAAACGTGGCATTGCTGGGTCCGTGGCGGTTCTATGTGCAACCTTTCGGGAAACTAGCCCACCTGTTTCCACGGCAGCTGCACCGTCACACATCCCCATCGGCGGTGTGCGAGGACTCTAACTTCACGTTCCCGCCAATACTTGTTTTCTCTCTTTCTTCCTTTTTTACTGATAGCCATCCGAATGGATGGAAAGTGGTGTTTCACTGTGGTTTTGATATTTTTAGTATTTTTTTCTAAGCAGGCTCCCTGCAACGCCTGGCCTGAACTCAAAACCCCGAGATCAAGAGCTGAGCTGAGATCAAGAGCCAGACGCTTAACTGACTGAGCCACCCAGGTGCCCCCTGATATTTTTAGTATTTTAAATTCAAATAAACTGTAACTCCCTTTCTCTAAAGCTATTTTTTGTCCTCTGAGCTCCTTTCCGGTCCTCCTGTCATCCCATTCCAAAAGTTGTATATGAGCTGCCATTCAGAAATCCCTCAGACGGGGGTTTTCATGCCACTTTCTACCTACATGGCTGAGATTTTAAAATGTCATTTGAGAAACAGGGATTCTAATGTATGTGGGAGCAAAATAGTCATTTAGGAGCCGCTGTCCTGCGAGGCTCCTCTGGGGTCCCAGAAGGGATCTTAGATCGCACCCAAGGACAGTTTCTGTCCAAGGAGAGACTGGCTCAAAATACAGATGCAACTGTCTTCTCATGCCTTGAGTGAGTAGCTGGCCTGGGGGGCTTGAGCGCTTCTCTCCAAGGGGGGCCTGAAGCCTGGGGGTCAGTCAGTATGTCCACATCCTGGAGAGGCTGCTCACAGGGCTGAGAACATCTCTCCAAGTGCTCTCTGGCTCTGTCTCCTGGCTGTCCTCCTGGCACAACGAGGGAAGAGTAGAAATTAGCTCTGGGAAGAGTGGAAATGTTCCAAGGCCAGGATGAGTTGGGTGGAGGAGGGGGTGCTTGGAGAGGATGACAGGCAGAGCTGGTCATCCTAGGGGATCATGAAGCTCAGGGTAAAAACCTTGAGGTCGGGTCTGGAGTATTTTCTGCAGGGGGCACGATCCATTTTGCAAGCTGAAAATGTGAGCTGCTGACTGGGAGGTAGGGGCCGTGCCGGAGGCTTCTGCAGAGACCTAAGGGATTGGAGATAGATGATGGCTGGGACCAGGAAGGCGCCGCGGTGATGGAGAGAAGTGGCCGACTGAGATACATGGTAGGGGCTGCTGTCAAGACTTAGTGATGCATTGGGGTTGGGGGGGTCAGGGTGGGGGTCATTGACTCAGGAAATGATGTGACTGTGACCTGACCTGAGCGGGGCCCAAGGGGAAGGCGCAGACTGCAGCGCGAGAAGTGTCTGGGCTGGAGTGCAGTTTGGACGAAGAAGGGTTGGCCCTCCTGGAAGGCACCTGCAGTAAACCTGGATGAGGTGGCCATGAGCTTTGTTATACTTTTACTTGCCGAAGTCACCGTTAGCCTTTGATCCCCAAGTAAATTCTCACTCTTTAAAATCAAGAAAGCCAGTGACCGTCCAACTTGGTGACCGGTTGGCTAAGAGCGGGCTTGCATTTGTGTCTGGCCGCAGGCGAATGACGGAGGAAGCTCTGGGGAGCTCTCCAGCAGCCGTGGCGGCCTCCTCGTCCTGCAGGGCTCTTGGGGAGTGTGGCTGTGAATGAGCGTTGGCCGTGACCCCGTTCTTCTGGACAGAAGTTTCTGTGGGACAACTCTGCCCCTTCCCTGTCCTCACTCCTGGAGCAGATTGGCCGAAGGCCTCGGTGGCCGACACTCCGCATCTCATGAAACACACGTGAGTGTCAGCAGCTTTGCTTCCTTCTATCTCGGGAGACCTGCTTAATTAGGAGGTCTGAGCCCCTGCCTGGAGGACCCTGAGCCCCTGCCTGGGCCCCCCCACCCTGTGCCTCCCTCATCTGCCCCTGCTGGCCTGCAAGTCCTTGGGGCCATTACTGACATCACCCTCCTTCCAGCACTAAATTCTCGACTAGTTGGAAGAGTTTGGGCTGTGATGGAAAACTCCTGGTTACAATGGACGCTGGAGCTCATCAGGATGTTTGTTAAAAAGTTGCAGGGTCATTGAGCCGGGGTGTTGAGTCCTGCAGCAGACACTGGGCTGCCAGGACCATTCCAGAAGTGGTTAGCTGGGTTGTGGGAGAGGACCAGGCCAGGGCTACATTGGGGAACCCGAGTCGGAGCCCTGTCCTGGGTGGCAGCCTCTAGGGGGCACTAAACTAGAAATGGGGCACCAGGTAGCTATGATCTGGATGTGGGCAAGCAGTCGCTTTGTGCCAAAAAACTCATTAATTAAGATAAACCATGTCTTTAAAAGTTATTTTAGGGGCACTTGGGTGGCTTAGTCGGTTAAGCGGCTGCCTTCAGCTCAGGTCATGATCCTGCGATCCTGGGATCCAGCCTTGCATTGAGCCTGGGATCGAATCAGGCTCCCTGCTCAAGGGGGGGGGGTCTGCTTCTCTCTCTCCCTCTGCCCCTCCCACCTGCTCACACACACACACACACACACACACACACACACACACTCACTCTCTCTCGCTCTCTCTCAAATAAATGAATAAACAATCTAAAAACAAATCTTAAAAAAAAAAATAGAAGTTATTTTAAAAAACAAATGCAGGGATCCCTGGGTGGCGCAGCAGTTTGGCGCCTGCCTTTGGCCCAGGGCGCGATTCTGGAGACCCGGGATCGAATCCCACGTCGGGCTCCCGGTGCGTGGAGCCTGCTTCTCCCTCTGCCTGTGTCTCTGCCTCTCTCTCTCTCTCTCTGTGTGACTAAATAAATAAAATTAAAAAAAAACAAATGCAAAACATGCACAATGAACAAAATATCAAAAGTCTAACTACAGATAGGTGGTGGCTGTTTGTTTTCGGATCCTGAACTATGGTGCCATGAAAACAGTTGTTTCTAACCAGTCCAAAGTTCCCAGGTAGCTGGGCTGTCCCCCTGCCATGCGGGTTTATGAGGGTTGACAAAGAGGTGTGGACAAATGGGGCAGCTTTGTGAGCTTTTATTCATCTTTGCACTTAGTTAAAAATATGGGAGGGTATTTTGATAAATGTATATAGGGGCTCACATTTTCCCTTTTGCCTCAGGCTCCCATAGGACCCCCCACAGCCTTGCTCTCCACCACGGATTCCTTTCACAGCTTGGGAAGACACGCATCTGGAAAGCATCCTCAGGTGGAAACGCAACCGTTGGACGTTCCCTGCCAGTTCTGCAATTCTGCTGGACATTTTTGCCATGCGTAAATGCTCATTATTACGTGAGCGGTCCGCAGTCTCGGGGAAATTCTGAAGCCAGATTATTGTAGGCTGGTGCTCTTTACCATAAACGAGCCATTTATCTTGCTGTTTGATTCTTAAATCATGTGCTGCGTCTCTCAAGAAGAAGTCGGCTTTTGAAAAATCATCAACGGAATTAGAAGAGAGACAACGGACACGCTCGCAGAAAAACTACAAGGTGTTCCCCCTTCGCTTCTTAAAAATTAAAATCCAGTTGGCCTGCACCGTAGGAAGGAGTTAGTGAGTTACTGGGTCTACACCTTCCACTGATGCCATCTCAGTTCCTCTTTGCCTTCTCTCCAAAAGGGAGGGAGTGAGTGGAAGGGAGTGGGGGTAACTGGAGAGAGCTCCCAGCCTCAGCTCAGGGCAGGCTCGGGGCGCAGAGGTCAAGACCCCTGTGACTTCATTAGTGTCGGTCGGTCGGGGAAGGAGGGCTGGCCCTGCCTGACTCTGAATGGCGTCCTCAGCTCTTCTCCGCGTCTGTTCCAGGTGACTGTCTCTTCTGGACCAGGCCCTCGGTTGACACCACTCCCAAGGGGCAGCCCCAAGCAGGAAAAGCAAGCCTCGCTTCCGTGCCCCAGGGCCGGGCGGTCAGGTGGGCTCAGGGGTCCCCGGAAGAGGGTGAATTTCCAGAGGCCTAAGCCGTTGTCCAGTATCTTCTTGCAAGCCTGGCTCCAAGGACGCATCTTGGGGATCCACGGGGGCCCGGTGGGCTGGGGGGCAAAGGAGGGGCGCCGGTGGGGGGAGGCGGGAACAGGGCGACCGGCGGGGCACGCAGGCCTGAGCCCTGCACCGCTTTGGCGGGGTCCTGCCCTCGGTACCCCTCGCCCCCCTCCGCGCACAGCGGCCTGGCGGGCTCTGGGGTGGGGGGCAGGTGGTGCGCCGGCGGGGGGGAGGTGGTGCGCCGGGGGGGGGCGTGGTGCGCCCGGGCTGGGGGGGGCAGGTGGTGCGCCCGGGCTGGGGGGGGCAGGTGGTGCGCCCGGGCTGGGGGGGGCAGGTGGTGCGCCCGGGCTGGGGGGGGGAGGTGGTGCGCCCAGGCGGGGCTCCAGCGCGGGCTGGGGGCGGGGCAGGTCGCGGGCTGGGGAGGGGGCAGGTGGTGCGCCGGGCGGGGCTCCAGCGCGGGCTCGGGGGGCGGGTGGGGGCGCGCGCGGGCGGCCGGGTCGCTAGCGCGGAGCTGTCCAGCGCCGAGGCCCGCCCCGCGCCCGCCCCGCGCCCGCCCCGCGCCCGCCCGCCCGCCGCCTCCCCCGCGCGGCCCGCGCCACTGCGGCTCGGCGGGCGCGTCACGTGGCTGTCGCGGCGCGGCCTCCGGCTCCGGCTCCGGCTCCGGCTCCGGCTCCGGCTCGGGCTCCGGGCTCCGGGCGGGCTCCGGGCGGGCGCGAGGACCCGCAGAGCCGCCGAGCACCGGGCGGGCGGGCTGGCGCGGGGCATGGGCGCGCGGGGGGCCCCGGGGCGCGGGCGGGCGGCGGCGGGGCGCCGGGGGCGCGGGGGCAGCGGCGGGCGGGGGGGGGCCTCCCTGGCGGCCGCCGCTGAGCCCCCGCGGGGCCCGTGACGCCGCGGCCGATGTGGCCCCGCGCGCTGCCGGCCTGCACCGCCGCACCGAGCCGCCGCCGGAGCCGCCGCGGGAGCCCGAGCCCGAGCCCGAGCCGCAGCCGCAGCGGCCGCAGCCGCAGCCGCAGCCGCAGGCGGGGGCCGGGCGGGCATGGAGCAGCGCGCGGCCGCGGGGCCGGAGGGGGCGCCGGGCGCCCGGGCGCAGCTGGCCGTCGTCTGCCTGGGTGAGTGGGCCTCGCCGGCCGCCCCGCTCCCCGCCCCGCGCCCCGCGCCCCGCGCCCCGCGCCCCGGCCCGCGCCCTGGGGGGTCCCGGGCGGCCGAGCCGCCCGCCCCCGCCCGCCCCCGCCCGCCCCCGGGAGCAGCGCGGGGCCCCGGCCTGGCGCGGATGCGGCCTCCGGGCTGCGGACAAAGGCGAGGCGGGCGGGTCTGCGAGCGGGCGCCGCCTCCCCCCTGCCTGGGGACCCGCGGCGGGGGCGGCAGCCGGCAGGAGGCGGCCTGGCAGCGCCGCGCGTCTTCCCTTTGTGTCCCTTGGCCCGGGGGCGGCCTGCGCAGCCCCCACGCTGGGTCCCCGGGAGGGCCCCGTCCACGCTCCGTGGCCCCGTGGCAGGGAGAGGGCAAGAAAGGAGTTAAATCCTCAAGCCACATGGCTCCTTTATTTACCATGATGGAGGAGGGAGGCCATTATCGGAGCTTGGGGTCATTAGGGGACACCCTACCGTGTCACTAGGGAAGGTTCTTCCAGCTCAGCAGGTTGGCTTGAAGCTGCTGAAACAAGCGACACAGTGGAAAGGAAACCTGACAGGGCTAAGCTGCATGCACCCTCTTCTGCAGGGAGCCCTGGGTCTTGCCTCACATGCAGGACAGTCTAGTAGGGGCTGGGGACCCCCCTCCTGCAGAGCGCCCACTGCCCGGCCCGTTGGCGGTCACGCGCTCTGGACTCTGAGCTGCTGGGTGCTGGTGAGCGGGGCGGGAGGACGGGTCCTTCAGGCACCCCAAGGCCCTCCCCACTCAGATGGGGCTTGGGCTCTGCCTAGCAGAACCTGGGGGTGTTTTCAAAGGGGACATCTGCCCCTGCATCCTCACCAGGTGGGTGCTGACCCTGCAGGGATGCTCTCTGCCTCCCTTGGCATCCTTGATGTTGGGGGGAACGGGGGTACCCTGAACCCCAGGAAGTCGAGTTTGCCCATAGTCTCCTCCTGGTCCTGTAAACCCCTGCAGGAAAGCACTAGGTGAAAGCAAAGGACAAACCCCATGGAGGTGGCTACTCAATGGGGTGGGTGGCAGGAGAGTTCTTTGCGTCTCTTCTCAAGGTCAGCGTGGCACAGCGGGGTGGACCTTGAATCCTGCTAACTGTGCATCCCTGTGGAATGGGGGAGTCACCTACTCCCTCCCTCCCCGGCTGCCCGTAGGCAAGGTGGCTGTCAAGGCCCCTCAGAGGGATTCCTCCAAGTGGTAGAGGCCCCTCTGAAGGCAGGGCCCTTGTCCCGGCCGAACCAGAGTGGTCCACACACGAGTCCCCGAGCTGGAGGGGGGAGACAGAAACACACCCCTCCTACATGGGGTAAAATTCCCGGGCATGGGGAGCAGCAGGAGTGGCCGGTGCAGCCAAGCTTGTGCCCTGGCTCTCTTTGGGAGAGGGTGGTGGGTCCTGAGACCCTCGAGGGTCCTCCCCTGTGCCCCTGCCAGCAGGACCCGGTAGAGTGGAAGTCTCTGGCGATGCTCTGGGCCGTGCCCCGTGGGATGAAGGGAACCAGCCTGCAGTTTGGCTGCAATGTCCTGTGCCCATCAAGGGCCACGGTTGGCCCAGGGCAGGTGTCTGGGCCCCCAGAGCCACCGCCCCCCACTGACTCCTCTTTGTATCTCCTGCAGTGAACATCGTTCTCACCGGGCGGCTCAGCAGCGCGGTTCCTGCCTTAGGTGAGTAGACGCTTCCCTTTCCTGCCTTCCGCCCTGCTCTTCTGGTTTCGTGACCTCTAAGCACAGGCCTCTGGGACCTGTCCACCCCTGGGGTCAGCTCGCCTCTTTCAACTTCGGTCTTTGTGCATTTTTTCCTGCATCACAAAGGCGCCGTTTGGCCGCGGGCAAGCTTACACCTCCCTGAGTCTCAGTTTCCTTTTCTGCAAAATGGGTGCAATAACAGGGGCTACCTCAGAGCCTGGTCATTAGAGTCAAATGGGCAGATGAGCCAAGGTGCTCAGCGTGACAGTGACGCACGGTGGCTTAATGCCACTAGCAAACTGTCACAGGTGCAGCGTCATTGGTGGATTGGGCTTCCGGTAGGCCGTGGGGTTCCCCGAGGGCACGAGGCACCGTGGGATGCCTGCCTGTTTGAAAGTTATACCTGGGATTTCGCTGCTAAAGGTGTGACTGAGGGGTAACACCCCACAGGGGCCACAGGGGGCCAGGCCAGAGCCTTTATTGGAGTTTCCACGGGAAAGGCAAGTAGGACAGGGCACACGGTCAGGCGTGGCCAGAGTGAATAGCTCTGGCTGGCTTGGGGCTACAGGGTGGTCTCCGGTTGCCTGGTACCGGGCCCTGGGATGACCCAGGGTGGCGGAAATACTGGCTTGGCCTGCAGATTAGAGAAGAAGGTGGCCCAGCCTGGGTTCCGCTGGTCCGTCCGAGCAAGCCCCGGGCCAGGCAAGCTGGTGTGCAGGAGAGATTAACTGCGTGGCTGATGTCTCGGCCTTGAGACTTGTGGCTGCCCACGGGATCGAGGAAACACAGCTGGAACTCCACCCCATTCCTCCTGCTGTCAGAGCGGGTCCAAGCATCCACAGGCCGTCTCCGTGCTCGGGCCCCGTGCCAGGCACATGGAAGGCTGGCAGGAGTGGGAGGGGTGACCGAGGCCGTCAAGAGTGTCGGTGCTTCACTGAGGGCACTGCCACGGGGAAGCCCCAGCCCTCCTGGCCCTGGGGCCCCCGGGAGACATCTGAGAAGGGCCTCAGGGAGCTGGGGAGAATGTGGGGTCTCCAGGGTGGGGGGCCTGCGACTTGTGTGTTGTCTGCTGTGCTGCCCACGGGCCTGGAGGCGCCTGGGGTCTCTAATTCTGCTCAGGACCTCGTAGCAGAAAGCCGCAGAGGCTGGCTCAGGGAGAGGGTCCTCTGCTGGCCCCGGTCATGGGAGGGGGAGGCCCTGGGCCCACAGAGGACCGGCTTCTCCCGTGTGGCTCCTCAGGCCCCCCCCCACCCCACGATTGTCCCTGCACATCAACTCCTCTAGCCTCCTCTGCTGACGCAGCTGGCCCAGGGCCCTGACTTATTCAGCACCAAGCCCTCCCCAGCGCTGCCTGGTGTCCTGGCCCCACGGCCACCTGCCCCGTGTCCCCATCCCAGTTTCCTGGAGGAGACTGGCCCTGCCGGGGCCAGGGTCTGTCTGTGGCCATGGAAGGGAGTGGGCGGGAGGGGGCACGGGGGTGTCAGGCCTTACGGATGGGAGCCCCCCGCGAGCCCTCCTGCGGCTGTGGTGGGTGTCTGCTGCATGCCTGTGTCCCAGGTTTAGAAGGTGATGCTCCAGGGACGAGCCTCACTCATAGTCAGGGAGGGGAAGACAGCCATGCTCTTAGCCAGCATCCCCGTTGTTCGTAGCAGGGCCCCCGTCGCCCAGCTTCACGTGGGGCCACCGTTCACATCGCGGTGCAGGTGGAGGTCACGGGCCTAGCTCTCCTGGAGTCTAGCTCTACCCCCTGGCATTGCCAAGGGGAGTGGAGCCTGGCTTCCTGCGGCATGGGGTGACCTCTCAGACACCCCTGACGGCCCGGCTGACAGGCTGGAGACGTCACAGGGGTCTGCCTCCCAACCCCTGGACTGGGGCCGATGCCCCACGTCCCATACCCCAGACTCGGGGCTGGGCCGTGTGGCTGCTGTGACGCCAGCGCCCGTGAGCCTGGACAGGGCCTTGAGGCTGCTTCCCCCTCCCCCGGCAGCCTCCCCCGCGGGTTGGGGAGGTGGAGGCGCTCCTGGCTCCCTGTCCTGTAGTTCCAGCCGGCAGGTTATCTAGACTATTGATTGCTCTGGAAACCGGATCTGCAAACTGTGCTCCACCAGGCCTTGCTCATGCTTCCTCGGGAGTATTTTGTGACTCTTTGGACCAGGAAGGAAGGGCGCTCGCTGGTCTGAAAGTGCTCGGTCATCCTCGGCCCCCTGGAGCAGGCCACCTTGGCCTGAGGGCAAGTGGCCTTCTGCCGGAGGGAACACAGGTCCCCCCCAGCCAAAGCCCCCAAACACCCCCAAACCCTATCCTGCAGACACAGCCCCCCCAGCACCCTCCCCCGCAGCCCATCATCACACACCCTGTCAGAGCCTCACTCCGCAGGGCGTCCCCCCTCGCCCCCCCCCCAGGAATGCCTGCCTAGGACCTGCCTCTTTCCTCGGATTTCCCGACCACCCTCTGAGACCAGCAGCACCCACGGATTCCATTTTACTGATGGACCCGGTGACCCACCTAAGGTGGAGCGGGGCGCCTGGCAGTGCGGGCCCCGGGACCTGGGAGGCCTCTCCCCACCTGTGCCCGGATCCCGGGGCGGGGGGCGAGGCTGCCCTCACAGACAGGCCTGGGGCTGGTGGCCTGAGCTGCTGACACCACCGGGCTCAAGGCCGGAGCTCCCAGCGGCCCGCATGGACCCTGCCCTCTTTCCTGCTCCCGTGCACACGGGCTGCAGAGAGCATGACCTCCGCGCCCCCACTTTGGGGAAGAGCAAACTGCGTGCTGTCGCTGCCCCTCTGGGGGAACTTCGGGGGCAGCCCTGGGGATTGCTCAGGGGGAGGCTGTTTGGGGGGACATGACGTCAGGGGCTTTGTGGGGACGTCAGGCATCAGCTCCTGACTTGGCTGCTGGTCCGAGAGCCAGGCTGCCTGGCCCTGGAAAGTGGGGCGGGACGTAGGTCTAGAAGAGTATCCGGCTGGGGCAGGTGGTGCCTGCAGGATTCACGGGGGAGGAACCAGGCCTTTCTGAGTGTTTGGTCTCCCTGAGGAAGGCCTCCTGGCCAGGGGAAGTGTGACCAGGCCCTGCTTTGCCCCGGGCCCTGTCCTAGGGTCTGAGGGGCCAGGGCAACAAAGGGTGGCTCCTGCCCTGGCTGCCAGAGTCTCCTGACTCGGGATTGACCGTGTGCTTTGGAGATTTGATGTGGGAGGGAGGATGCACCCGGCCGTGCTAGGCTCTTCCTGCCTGTGAACCCCCAGCACCATCCAGCACCATCCAGCAGGAGAAGCCTCTTCTGGGTTTCAGACCTTACACCTCACAGGTCCCGGGTCAGCACTGAGGGTCCCTGTGAGGTCCACAAAGCCAGTGGCCTCACGTGTCAGAGGGAAGGGGCTCTTGTCCTTCCCCTGCTGGGTGCTCTTATTGCTCCTGTTTCAGGGGTGAGAAATCTGAAATCCCCGGGCTGGCCCTCCAGGCCACATTGGGTGCCGGGCAGAGAAGCCTGGCTGGTGCCTTGCTGACCAGGGACCCTTGGGGGCTCTGATGGCAGTTCGAGGGTGACCAGACTTGTTTTAGGGTCAAGTGTGGGTGTTTCTTTTCTAGTCCTTTGCTGCTTTCGTGAGCTGTGGGTGGGGGTTTTCACGGCCCTGGTAGTCACAGTGTTGGATCACCTGGACCTCCCTGGTCACCGCGCCGCTGAGTCCTAAGAGCACGGGAGGCAGCTGGAGGACTTCACTCTCCTTTCTGCAGCTGTGCAGTGTGGGGTCCCAGGGAGTCTTGTTGAGAGCCAGCAGAGGGACCCTGGCTTCCGGGGGCAAGGTGGAAGGTGCCAGGCAGTGGGAGAGTGAGGAGGTGGTGTCACTGGCCTCAGTTTCTCCATCTGTATAACTGACCCTGCCTTTGCCACAGGCTGTTGTGAGGATCTGATGAGGCTGTGTGGCGAAGGGCTGCAGGGGCAGGGAGGGGCGGGTGCGGTCCAGGGCAGAGGCCTTGCCTGGGCCCAGGAAGGCCTAGGGCTGCAGAATTCTCCACTGAGTTGAAGCCCTGAGGCCAAGAGGCTGCCCCTTGGAGGTGCCAAGGGGACTGCTGGTGGGCTCATTCCCAGCCCTGCTGGGAATGGGGGTAAGACCTACGCTCTGGTGCACCCAGTGGGGTTGGGGACCAAGGCTGTCCCAGTCCTGCTGGGTCCTTGGCCCCCCATGCACACACCCATGAAGTCTTGAGTCTGGCTATGGCCACCCTTGTCTGGCCTTGATCCCACTCCGGGGAAGGCTCGCACTCAGGCCATGGGGGGCTTGCGTGCACCCCGCACCTCACTTCCCACCCAAAGGGGAGGCCAGCACGTCTCAGGCTCCTCTCCCGACAGCTGCCTGCAGCGGGAAGCTAGAGCAGCACACAGAGCGGCGCGGTGTCATCTACAGCCCGGCCTGGCCCCTCAACTACCCTCCGGGAACCAACTGCAGCTGGTACATCCAGGGTGACCGTGGGGACATGATCACCATCAGGTAAGGGGACCCAGGGCGTCAGAAGGAAACTCCGTGGGCCTGCACATGCGGTGTAAGTGTGTGTGTGTGTGTGTGTGCATGTGAAATGGTGCATGTGTGTGAGTGCGTGTGTGAGCAGGTGCAGAGGGCACGTGTGTGAGCAGATGTGAACGCTTACGTGTGTGAGCACGTGCATGAGCACATGTACGAAGAGGTACAGAGGGCAGATGTGTAAGTACGTGTGTGTCTGTGTGTGCACATGTGTGAGCATGTGAGTGTGCCCAGCTCCCCAGGTGTCTGTGGGCCCCTGTAGCTGGCCACCCGTCCTGCTGGACCTCCCCTGTGTCAGCTTTTCTCCTGGGCCCTGGGGGCGTGGTTCACCTCAGCCCGGCCAGGGGGAGGAGCCCTGGGGACTGGTGGGCGGAGCCCTGGGGACTGGTGGGCGTGCTCCAGGCAGCTCCAGGTGGCGCAGGTGTTTTCTCCGTCCTGCAGGGGGGCTGGGGGGGCTAGGGGCCAGGCCAGCGCAGAGGCCAGAGCAGGGCTTCCCGGGGGGCCTCAGGAGGAGCCCATGCAGGAGCCCAGGGCAGAGGGAGCTGAGGTGGCCAGATGGTGGAGCTGAGTCTGGAACCGCTGGCCGGGGGTGGCCGGGGGGTACCTGGCCAGGGCACCACTATCCTACATGCCAAACACTCAGGTAGTCCTGGCTCCAAACCACAGGGACATGATGGGCACCAGCAGGGTCTGTCCTGGTGTCTCTGCCCGTTTCCCTGTGGCCACAGGGCCGTGGCTCTCAGGCCCGCTCTCTTCAAAGACTCCACTCTTGCCGTCCACTTCTGGTCTACTCCCTGGTCCTGTGGCCTGCTGGCCCCACAGCCTGGGCCTGGCGGGCCCAGCGTCCATTTCTTCCCAGGGGACAAGCTGTCACCCAGCTGCAGGCTTGGCCAGCCCCGGGCGCGTGTACTCCCTCAGCCTGTGAGCCTGTGTCTCCCAGCACACTCCGCATGGGAGGGATCTGGACCCCCGGGGCTTGCCCTTCAAGGGGGAGTGTGGGGGGAAGGAAGTGCCCCTGCTGGAGCTTCGGACTCCCCCTCCACTTTGGCTTTGGGGCGGGCACCGTGTGCGCCGATGGAGGGCAGGAAGGGACCAGGTGAGGCCTTCGCAGGGCTTCGACGGGGCTGTCCAGTTGCTCCGGTTCTTCGTGTGGCAGCAGGGGTCCCCCTGAGGGGCCTGGAGTGGAGGAGTGGGGGGCCCCCGGGGCCGGCCACCCTTGCCACGCACGAGCCCGGGTCCGCAGGCTCCCTGCCCGCCTGCCCACAGCCGCCGTCCTCGTTCCCCTCTGCCCCCGCAGCTTCCGCAACTTCGATGTGGAGGAGTCCCACCAGTGCTCCCTGGACTGGCTCATGCTGGGCCCAGCGGCGCCGCCCCGCCAGGAGGCCTTCCGGCTCTGCGGCTCGGCCATCCCCCCTGCCTTCATCTCCGCCCGGGACCACGTCTGGATCTTCTTCCACTCGGACGCCTCCAGCTCGGGCCAGGCCCAGGGCTTCCGTCTGTCCTACATCCGAGGTGAGGCGGGCAGCGGGGTGGGCAGGGCACCAGGGCCCCGGGCAGCGCCCTCTCCTGGTCTCCCCCAGCAGCCCCGAGGGTCGGGGGGCCTGGGATGGGTCAGGTGGCCGCCTCAGGGTGCCCTGAAGCCCCTCCAGCTCACTGACCCCACTTCCCAGACTTGGCTAGAGTGGGCGGCTCGCCCCTCACCCTTGGCTCAAGTCAGGGACAATCCCACCCCGGCATTTGAGGGGTGGCTGCCCCTGGGGTGGCCATAGAGAGCCCCCGCAGAGGCCCGGCAGGGACAGGGGGGCCACCCTGCCTGCTCCGGGCCCGGGTGTGCCCCGGAGGCAGGCTGGGCTCCCCCTGAGCATCCCCCCGCCCTTCTCCATGCGCAGGGAAGCTGGGCCAGGCGTCCTGCCAGGCCGACGAGTTCCGCTGTGACAACGGCAAGTGCCTGCCGGGCCCGTGGCAGTGCAACACCGTGGACGAGTGCGGCGACGGCTCGGACGAGGGCAACTGCTCGGCGCCCGCGTCGGAGCCTCCGGGCAGCCTGTGCCCCGGGGGCACCTTCCCCTGCAGCGGGGCGCGCTCCACGCGCTGCCTGCCGGCCGAGCGGCGCTGCGACGGCTCGCAGGACTGCGGGGACGGCTCCGACGAGGCGGGCTGCCCCGACCTGGCGTGCGGCCGGCGGCTGGGCAGCTTCTACGGCTCCTTCGCGTCCCCGGACCTGTTCGGCGCGGCGCGCGGGCCGTCGGACCTGCACTGCACGTGGCTGGTGGACACGCAGGACCCGCGGCGCGTGCTGCTGCAGCTGGAGCTGCGCCTGGGCTACGACGACTACGTGCAGGTGTACGAGGGCCTGGGCGAGCGCGGCGACCGCCTGCTGCAGACCCTGTCCTACCGCAGCAACCACCGGCCCGTGAGCCTGGAGGCCGCGCAGGGCCGCCTCACCGTGGCCTACCACGCCCGCGCCCGCAGCGCCGGCCACGGCTTCAACGCCACCTACCAGGTGAAGGGCTACTGCCTCCCGTGGGAGCAGCCGTGCGGCGGCGGCGGCGGCGGCGGCGGCGACGGGGCGGCGGGCGACGCGGGCGAGCAGGGCTGCTTCTCCGAGCCGCAGCGCTGCGACGGCTGGTGGCACTGCGCCAGCGGCCGCGACGAGCAGGGCTGCCCCGCCTGCCCGCCCGACCAGTACCCGTGCGAGGGGGGCAGCGGCCTGTGCTACGCGCCCGCCGACCGCTGCAACAACCAGAAGAGCTGCCCCGACGGCGCCGACGAGAAGAACTGCTTCTCCTGCCAGCCGGGCACCTTCCACTGCGGCACCAACCTGTGCATTTTCGAGACGTGGCGCTGCGACGGCCAGGAGGACTGCCAGGACGGCAGCGACGAGCACGGCTGCCTGGCGGCGGTGCCGCGCAAGGTCATCACGGCGGCGCTCATCGGCAGCCTGGTGTGCGGCCTGCTGCTCGTCATCGCCCTGGGCTGCGCCTTCAAGCTCTACTCGCTGCGCACCCAGGAGTACAGGTGGGCGGGCGCGCCCCGGGTCGGGGCTGCGGCTCCCCCCAATCCCCCCCACCCCCCGGCCCCGCTCAGGCCGTGCACGCGTGCGCTTCCCCGCGCATCCCGGGAGGTCGCGGCGGAGGGAAGGGAAGGGGCCTGGGAGACGCCGGGGCGGGGCCTGCGGGGGAGCCTAGGGGAGGGACGGGGCCTGCGGGGGAGCCGGGGGGGGGCAGGGCGGGGCCTGGGAGAAGCCTGGGGGCGGGGCCTGTGGGGCTGGGGGCGGGGCCTAGACGGCTAGGGGAAGGGGCCTGGGAGAAGCCTGGGGGCGGGGCGGGGCCTGCGGGGGCGGGGGACGGGGTTGGCGTGGGGGCGGGGCCTGCGGGGAGTCTAGGGAAGGGGCGGGGCCTGCCGGTGGCTGGGGGCGGAGCCTGGGGGCTAGGGGGCGGGGCCTGGGGGCGGAGCGGGGCCTGCAGGGGAGCCTGGGGCGGGTCCTGCGGGGGACTGGGGGCTGGGCCGGGGCCTGCTGGGTTGGAGGCAGGAACTGCGGGCCGGGGCCTGCTGGGCTGGGGGCGGGCCTGCAGAGCGGGGCCCGGGGCTAGGGGGCGGGGCCTGCCGGGAGCCTAGGGGAGGGGCGGGGCCTGCCGGTGGCTGGAGGCGGGCCTGCGGGGGGGCCTGGGGGCCTGGGGGCGGGGCCTGGGAGAAGCCTGGGGGCGGGGCGGGGCCTGCGGGGAGCCCAGGGGAGGGGCGCGGCCTGGGGCAGGCCCGTGTGCCGTCCCCGCCAGCCCTGCCATGCTGCCTTCCTGGGTCCCGCTGCCTTCAGGGCCTTCGAGACCCAGATGACCCGCCTGGAGGCCGAGTTTGTGCGGCGGGAGGCGCCCCCGTCCTACGGGCAGCTCATCGCACAGGGCCTCATCCCGCCGGTGGAGGACTTCCCCGTCTACAGTGCGTCCCAGGTGAGCGCCAGGGGGCGAGACCCCCGGGGCCCGGGCTCCCGCGTGGACCTGAGCACGCCCAGACGGGCAGACCCCGGGCCCGGGGCAGGCGGCGCACGGGCCAAGGGCCGAGGGAGCGGGAGGAGAGGCCCGGGCGGGGTGCGGTGGGGGGCGCGGCCAGGCTGGGGGAACAGGTTGGCCTGGGGGGGTGCTGAGCCCCGCCCCCGCGGCTCCCGGCCCCCAGGCCTCGGTGCTGCAGAACCTCCGCACGGCCATGCGGCGACAGATGCGCCGGCACGCCTCCCGCCGCGGGCCCTCCCGCCGCCGCCTGGGCCGCCTCTGGAACCGGCTCTTCCACCGGCCGCGGGCGCCGCGGGGACAGATCCCACTGCTGACGGCCGCTCGCACCTCTCAGACGGTGCTGGGCGACGGGCTCCTCCAGCCTGCGCCAGGGACCAGCCCGGACGCCGCCGCACCCCTTACGGACTCGGGCAGCCCCGCGGCAGCCGCGGATGGGCCCCCCAGCGCCCCGGGCCGGGCGCCAGAAGTGGGACCTGCCGGGCCGCCCGCCTCGGGCCGGCGGGACCCGGGCTGCAGGCGGGGGGACAAGGACAGAAAAGCCTGCAGGGACCCTCCCGGGGACAGCCCGGCCGCCGCGGACATGCCTCGGGAGCCCTGCTCGGCCCAGGACCCTCAGCCCGCGGCTCCCACTGCCAGCAGCACCCTGGGCCCCCACGCACCAGAGCCACTGGGTGTCTGCAGGAGCCCCCCGCCACCCTGCTCCCCAACGTTGGAGGCCAGCGACGATGAGGCCCTGCTGGTCTGCTGACCCGCCGGCCGGCCGTGCTGGTGACCGCCACAGCCCCGCTTTGTAACCAGGGAATACACAGTCGTTTCTACCCTGCCTCCGCGTCCTTCTTTCTTCCCGAGAGGCTGCCCAGAAGCCCCGCCGGCTTGCTGCACCGCACCCCCAGCCCTGGTGGGCACGGCGGGCGCAGGCTGTCCGGGCTCGAGCCACGGGCAAGTGGAGTCAGGAGCCCCTCTGCAGGCACCCACTGGGTGCCTCACTCTCCTCCCCCACCTCCGTTCTGGGAGTCCAGTTCCAGGGAAGCAGGAGGGCTAGGGCAAGGCTCTCTGGAGTGTTTTCCGTGGCTTCTCACTTCATTCACCCTCCGGGGTGCCAGAGCTGTGCCCGACTGCACAGGACGGCAGGTGTGACGGAGCCAGTCCACGGCGGGCCCTCTGCTGGTGCTCAGCCCTCCTCCCATCCTCCCATCCTCCCAGCCAGCACGGAGGGGCAGGCGAGGAGGCTTCCGGCCCCATCCTCATGCCTGCGGTGTCAGCATGGGCCTGGCCGGGCAGATGCCCTTTGCCCTCTGGCGCAAGCTTAATCTGGGCATGAGGGCTGGGAATGTGGGCACAGGGTAGAGGAAGCCCATGGTCTCTTGCAGGCCCTGAGGCCCCCAACCCCTCCCGGGAGATGCTGCTAGATGCTTCCTCAGGAGACAGTGGCCGAGCACCAACTAACAGTGGCCAGATCCATCCCGTTCCGTCTCAGGCTCTCAGTTTCCCCCGTAAAGCAGGGTGAAGCCAAGTCTTGACACTCACTCCACGGAGATTTATGGGGGAAAAGGCAGCTCCAGCAGAAACGCCTAGGCCCTCCCGGGTGGCTGAGCCTTGGGCTGGCATTGCGGGTCCCCAGGAGGGGCACACCAGGTGTCTCCCAATCCCGGTGTCCCTTTGGGGCAGGGCTGGCTCTGGACCCCACAAGGGAGAGAGGGAGTGCCTGGCTCACGGGGCAGAGCCCCCAGATGCCAGAGGCCTCCTGCGGTGCCTGCTGAGCCACTTTGGCAGCCAGCACCACGCCAGCCCCGCCAAGTCATGCCCACCAGGGACTCACCTGAGACAAGCACACCACCCACCAGCCCCGTTTTATTCATAGACCTTTTCAGGAAAAGCGAGTGGGGCGGTGCTGACAGGGAGCCCCGTCCACATCTGCGGGGATCCCCCTTGGCATAGGCCTTAAAAGAGCCGCATCTCTTTTTTTTTTTCCAAGACAAAACAAAAACAAAAACAAAAAACCCAAAACAAAAAAACACAACTTATTTTGCAAAAACACCTCCTCAATAAACAACATGTAAACAGAAACAGCTGCTTTAGGTTCACCAATGTCTCACTGTGTCTTCAAGGGCTTGTCCGTGGCAGGCAGCGGGGAGGACTGGCAGGGGCTGTTTTCTTCCTCCTCGGGGGCCTCCTGGGGGTAGACCACGAAACACAGCTCCTGGCCCCAGCGTGTCATGGACTCTGAGGACAGATGGACAAACAGACCTTGGGTCTGACCCTGTAGGGCAGGGGTCCTTGGGGAGTTGCTCCCTTTGGTTGGATTCTGGACACTGGGACCACCTCTTGGGGACACTTCTGGTGGCAGCTGGACCCTGATACCACCGCAGCTGCGGGGAGGCCCTGCCCCAGGGCAAGCCCCCGAGAGGGGACACACTCCGACGCCCACAACCTTGGGGAGGCGGCCCCGGCTCACCTGTGAGTCTGTGCACACACTTTGGTTTGCTTCTCCAGAAGACCCCCAGGAAGAAAACAGGCACCCCAGTGAGGATGATGATCATGCCGACCCCGCACACCATGGGCTCCGAGATGAAGCTGAAGACCAGTAGGAATGCCCAGAAAACCAAGTACGCGACAGGGACGAGGAGGTTCACCTGGGGGACAGCCAGCCAGAGGGCCAATGGCATGGGACCTTCCCTGGGCTCTCCTGCTCCACCACCCCGTGAGGGTGACGGGGTTCTAGGTGCTTCCCACCCTCTCCTGGGAGCTGAGGCTTGAGGGTCCCCCTCTGGCAGCAGCCCAACATGCTAGAAGCCAACTCATGGGATGGCTGATTTGACAAACACTTGAGGACACAGCAACTATGTGTCACTGGCTGCTTGCATATGACTCTCTCTCTATATCTCTTTTTTTTTCTCTCTCTTTTTGGTGTTTCATATTTTTTCAGGCACTGAGCAGCACTTCTCCAGCTCCAGGATTTATATGCAGACACAATATTTGCATTTTCCTTAGTCTGGGCCCTTCTGTCCTTGTGTGCTCCTGGGATTCTCTGTGACCAAGAGCAAGCATCTTGGCCTCCTTTTCCTGTCTGTAAACTGGGAGTATCAAAAGCCCCCACCTCGTGGGGCAGACACGGGAGCTGAATAGGTCGGTGTACACACAGCCCGGAGCAGGGCCCGATCGCTGTCGTCACCTGCCCCCGGTGCCCAGGTGACCGAAGGCGGGGGGACAGCCAGCCCGTCCTTCCCCGGGCCTCACCTTGATGGGCCTGTGGAGAGCTGGCCGCCTCCAGCGCAGCACGAGCAGGCCCAGGATGGTGACGCCGTAGCAGAGGTAGTTGATGAAGGACACATAGTTGATGAGCGTGTACGTGTCTCCCACAAGCATGATGATCGCTGTGGCCCCGCACTGGGAGAGGACCGGGCTGAGGGTGGCCTCCCACCTGCCTCCGTCAGCCCCGTGGGCCGCCTGGGCCCGCCGGCTCGGGCCAGGAGGTTGGTGAGCCCCGGCCCTCCCTGCTCCCTCTGTGGCCCGCACCACCCCCCACCCCCGAGGGCCGGCTCCCGTCCCTGCCAGTTGGTCCCACGACTTACACAGACGAGGAGGGCAGGGATGGGGGTGCAGCGTCTGACGTGGATCATGGCCAGCAGGCCGGGCAGGTGCCCCTCTCGGGCCCCAGAGAAGCACAGTCTGGGACAGAGATGGGGGCGGGAGCGTGAGCCCGGCCTTGGGTGTCCCGCCAACCAGCTCCCGGACCTCAGCTCCAGACCCGACGTCCCCCTGGAGCTGTCACCTCCGGCCCCTGCTTTCTCCGGGCCCCAGGAGCCCCACTGGGCACTTCTTCCCCGCCTAGTCCCGCCTCCTTTTTGCTTTCTGTACCTCAGAGCGGGGGTCGGACTCCTGTCACTGGGGAGCTCATTGTCCCAGCTTCAGGTGGGACCCACCGGGCGGGATCTGACTTCTTCCGGCCCCTGGCGCTGATCGCGAGCACCAGGGCTACCTGCCTTGCCTCACCTTGACCACCCCCTTCCCCATCCGGTCACCTGGAGGAGGTGAACAGGTAGCCATTGATCCCTCCAAAAGTGGAAAGTGCCACGGAGACGGGCATGACCCAAGAAAAGTAGCCCAGCAGCTTCTCCCCGAAGGTCTGAGTGGGCACAGAAGAGAGGTGGTGCATGAGGCAGGGCGGGGTGGGCGGGAGGCAGGCACAGGTGGGACCCCACTCACCACAGCCACTGCGTTAGAGGCCAGCAGCTCCTGGGGCGACATGGCCGTGAAGTAGGCGATGTTGGTGAAGGTGTACACAAAGGTCACCAGCGGGATGGAGATGACAATGGCACGAGGCAGGTTCCTGGGGGCGGCAGTGGGTAGGTTCCTGGTCAGTGGCAGCCCCCGGGGCGGGGGGGAGACTGGGAGGCAGCACCCGGAGGACCCAGCACAGGAACGCTTTGAGTCTCCATCTCCCAGGTGTGCTGTGGGCCCTGGGACAGGTAAGGGGCACCACCGCCATCTCCCTGCGGCCCCCCAAGGCCCCAGGCTGGGCACAGGCTGGTGGAGGAAGGGCAGGTGGGTGGGGAAGGGCCACATCAAACCCTGGGGGGGCAGGTCTAGTGCTGGCACAGGAAGAGAAAAGCGCATCCAGGCCCAATCGGCCTTGAAGATCCTTGAAAAGTGCCCCTAGGGCCCAGTCCCTAGACCCGGGTCCCCTGGGGCTGCCCTATGGGCGCCAGCCCCAGCTGTGACAGGTCACTGTTGGGACCCTCCGCTGAGCATCAGATGGAGCCGTTGGCTTCGTCCCTGGGGGCCGTGTCGTGTGCACGTGTACACATTTTGGTCAAACGCAAACTGCCGGGTCCATTGACAGTGGGACAATGACACTCCGTGTTTCTGAGGCCCGGCAAGGGGCCACGACATGGCCGTGCGGGGTGGGGCCAGGCTGCAGCACCAGGGTCCCGGCAGCGGGCTGAGCCCCGGGAGGCAGCAGGTCTGTGCAGGGAGGTGCCTCTCCCCCCCTTCCCGGGGCCCGGCTGGCCGTCCCACCCACTTTCGAGGGTCAACCAGCTCCTCCGTGACGTAGTTGAGGAAGTTCCAGCCGCTGAAGGCAAAGGAGCCCTGGAGGAAGGCCAAGGCCAGGTGACCCACGGACGGTGTCATCCAGAAGTCAAAGGCATTGCTGGGCCTCAGCTCCTCGAAGCGCCCTGGGGGTCCAGAGGTCAAGGGTCAGTGTCGTCCCCGGCCCCTCGCACGGCCCCACCCCGGCCCTACCTTGGAAGATCTGGACAAAGCCCACGCCAATGATGAGGGACAGGGCCAGCAGCTTCCCGCCGGTGAAGATGTCCTGGATGCGTGTGGCCCAGCGCACGCTGGAGCTGTTCACCCATGTCAGGAGCACTGGGGAGGGACGGAGAGTGCGCGGGTGGCCCCCAGGCCAGTGCAGCCCCCGGGCTGTGGGAGGCGGCCCCTGGGGCTGAGCTCACAGGAGGGGCCCCCTCCCCCCCCAGTCCTCCCACACGGGCCAGGGAGCCGGTGCGGGCCCAAGGCAGCACTCACTCAGGCAGGCCATGGAGAGGGCGCGGGAGGCCGCGGCTGGGGGGATGCAGTTGGGGAACACGGGCTGCAGCACGTAGTTCGAGAAGGTCATGGAGATGACAGCCAGGCTGGTGGGGTACATGATGAGGACGGCGCTCCAGAGCAGCAGGAAGCTGGAACGAGCCAGGGCCCGACTGGCACAGGCATCCCGCACCCCCCGCCCCGGCCCAGGTGTGGGAGGGGGCTGCCCCCCCGGAGCCCGGCGTGGGCGCTCCATGCCAGCTTCGGTCCGGAGGCTGTCGGGGTCTCTGCTCGAATAGGGGCTTTTTCAACAGGGACAGCAGCCAGCACGGTTGACAGCTCCAGGCTGCCCTTGGGCAGGTGTCGAAAAGGACTTGGGACCCAGCCCCCTTTGGAACAGCCGCCCAGCTCCGGCCGCAGGCTGTTTCCTGGGCTGGGGTGGGCTGTCCCGGGGCCTGGAGTCATGGCTCAGGCCCCCTCCCTCCCTCTCCCCTTCTTCTCGAGGATTCTCTCCACCACACAGCACAATTCTCCTGCTTCCTCAGGTCCCAGGCCCCTTTGAGGGCCGGCTCCCCAGAGCAGAGCGTTCATGGACATGCCCGCACCCACCACACACCCCATCTTCCACTACCCTGCCCGTTAAGGGCCCCGAACCACATCCCTCAGAACCAAATTTTGTATATTTTAGCCTAGACTTTTCCTCTGAGCTCCAGACACCCTCCCCCCAAGACCCGACTAGACCATCTCCACAGATAGGCCACAGACCCCACCAGCACGGCAACCTTACCCCCAAACCTCCCCTCCCCGAAACTGCCATCAGGGGAGCCTACCCAACGGGAAACTGGGGTCACCCTCTGCGGCCCCTCAGGCCCCACTGGCCACCACATCCTCCGGATTTAGGCTGCTGCATGATTCTGAGATCTTCCCATACCTTTATTCAGGCCCTCGGCACAGCTCGGCTGGGTAACTGCAGTAGCTCGGATCCCCCTCCCGCCCCCGGGCTGCCCCAGCGCCTCCCAGGCCTGGCACGGACCATGGATCCGATGCGCCTCTGGCCACACCAGCTAGATTGGGCCCACCCTCCAAGACTTGGTGCGAATGTGAAGGCAAACGGAAGCCTTCCCTCAGTGGTGGCACCCCATTCTCTTGGCCGCTGGGCCGCGGCCCTCGTGCGCAGCCTCAAAGCAGGGATCTCTTGCCCCCCTCAGAGGGGGCTCTCTCCCTCTGCACTACAAACAATTTGACAACAGGGATGGATCTTTTTAACCCTGGTCCTGAGCACACAGTAGGTGCTCAGCTACTGTTTACCCTGAATAAAAGAACGCTGGGGAGCTGTTTAAAGGGGCGCCCTTGGAGATCACTGGTAGGAATTTTCTGCACCCCTCTTACACACATGTGGGTTTATAAAATCGAGGCTGCTCTTGGCCTATTGCGAGCATCACCCAGGTGGGGAGTAGGAAGCACGGAGAGGTCAAGGGGCCGGCTGGAGTGTCCTGCCCACCCTGGCCTTGGAAGGCTGCCCAACACCCCCACCCCCTTCCCTCCATCCACCCCATGGCCTCCCTGAGATGTGAGAAGAAGAGGAAATTGAAGTCCAGCACCCAAGTGGCCCTCAATTCCAGATCGTCGTCCCCTCCCCCGGCGACCCCACTGGGGCCCCACACTCACCCAGCCAGGCCCCCGAAGATCTCGGTGACATAGGCGTAGTCTCCACCAGACTTGGGGATGGCGACGCCCAGCTCCGCGTAGCAGAGGGAGCCCAGGGCAGTGACGCCTCCACCCAGGACCCAGACGAAGAGGGCCAGACCCACAGAGCCTGAGTGCTCCAGGACCCCCTTGGGGGAGATGAAGATGCCGGAGCCGATGATGTTCCCTGGGTGGGGGGAAGTGGGGGGAGATGGGGAGCCATCAGGTCGGGGGCCCCCTTAGCAGCCCCACCATCTCCCAGATGCTATAGTGAAGAAGGGAAGCCTGGCTGCTCCCAGGAGGAGGAGGAGGAGGAGGAGAGGGGAGGTGGGCCTGGAGGCCTGGCGATGCCCCCAGCTGCCTCCGACCCTGTGCATCCCACTCTGGGCCCGTGATCTCCCCTTCCCCAGGCCCTGGCGTGGGAGGGGGCACCCCGTCCGCCCAATTTGATCTTTTTTCTTTTTTTTTTTAATTTTTTTTTATTTATTTATGACAGTCACAGAGAGAGAGAGAGAGAGAGGCAGAGACACAGGCAGAGGGAGAAGCAGGCTCCATGCACCGGGAGCCCGACGTGGGATTCGATCCCGGGTCTCCAGGATCGCGCCCTGGGCCAAAGACAGGTGCCAAACCACTGTGCCACCCAGGGATCCCTCGTCCGCCCAATTTGGGAGGTGAGTCCTTTTCTCAGGGCATCTGTCCCCGGCTTACTCCCACCAGGTGGACCAGCACGAGGAGGGGGCTCCGCTGCCTGAGCGGTGGCAGGGTGGCAGCCGCTCTGTGCACCCCCAGGGGGCCCGGGCTCAGGCCTCGGCGGCCACCTCTTCTCCTTCCAACCTACCGGCCAGAGCTGGCCACCTGAAGCAAGACCTTGACCATAACCTCTTCTGCTACCTCTCTGTTGGCTGAAGTCCACACTCGGGGAGCGGCACCGCCTCCATGCAGCTCTCCCTGACCGTGCCTTGATCCCATGGGGTCCTCCTCCCACTTGTCAGCCCCATGACTCCCCAGACCCTGCCCCATGCCCGATCTTCTCTCTCCCCTGTCCCTAAAAGGGAACCTGCTTCCTGGGCTCCTCCCTGACCTAGGACCCAGGCTGCAGCCGCAGGCTCAGAAGAGAATGTGTTTCCTGGCACTGTTGAAATGTTTCGGGTCCTGGGAAAAGGCCATTGGGGTGAAGGGGAGGAACAGGTGCATTTTCAGGGCTGGGGGTAGGTCAGCAGCCATCACGGGAGGAATGGGGTGGGCAATGCCAGGCTGGCAGCGACTGGGCCAGGACGGTCTGGATAAGACAGGTTCTCCCATGAGACAGCCCCGGGGAGGCCGAGAGGAGTCACCGCTCTCATCCCAGGACCACAGCGGGGAAACCCCAGCGGGGGCTCAGGTCATGTCTCAAGGTCTGTCTGTGCACGAGGTTTTGGTGAGGATTCAGCAAGATACCATATAGGTGTATGTGGATGTACTTCGCATCTTGTTTCATTCTTTTTTTTTTTTTAGATTTTATGTATTTATTCATGAGAGACACAGATCGAGAGGCAGAGACACAGGCAGAAGGAGCAGCAGGCTCCCTGCGGGGAGACTGAGGTGGGACTCGACCCTGGTACCCCGGGATCACACCCTGAGCCGAAGGCAGACGCTCAACCCCTGAGCCACCCGGGGGCCCTCTTTGCGTGATTCTGTGTGCTGCCTGCAACCGCACCTGCTCGCCCCCCATCCCCCAGTAGGTGCTCAACACACATCAGTGGAGTAAACTAATGGGTGTGCGAATGGCCCGATGCCCAAAGTGGCACCAGTGTCCTGACACGAAGGACTGATTCCCTCATCTGTGAAGCTGGGGCAGCGTCTCTACTCGGCTCTCCTGGAGGAGCACTGCAGGGAGGCAGGGAGGGTGGTCAGCCTCTGAGGCTCGGACGTGCGTGGAAACTGCCCTGGTCACAGGCCTGCGCTGCCCTCGGGCTGACTCTGAGTCTTGCGGAGTGTGGTGTGTGTCGGGGGGAGGGTGCTCTGCTGATGCACGGTGTCTGCGAATGCTCGGTCCAAACGCTCACAGGGCCAAGCTGTGGTCTGCAGAGTAGGTCCTCAGGGTGAGCAAGACTGAGTGCCCAGTGAGCTGTGAGCTCCCTGGCAGGGAGGGCAAAAAGTGCCATGTTCTGGGTGACCTAGGTCTCACCATCTGTGCAAACAAATTAGGTCACGTCGTTGGTGGTCTGCAAGAGGACCTGCCCGAGAGGAAATAATCCCAGAATGCCCAGGCCACTTGAATAAAAAAGCCACACTGTCAGGAGCTTGGGGCTCAGTCCCTCGACGGGATGACCCCACCTGCCAGGTCCCTCTGGGGAGCGCACACCCGTGGAGGCGGAGCCGGCCTGCTCCACCTGCCAGGCCCACAGGCGGGTCTGGCCAAGGACACAGCTGTGGCTGCCAATCTGCATGCGTTCCTTGTCCACGGGGCTACCCCCCACCCCGCCCCCGGCCGACACAGATTTCCAGTCTGGACGGCCATGGTGCCCCACTTGGTTTTCAAGTCACATCCCAGGAGCCCTAAATACATCCAGATAAGGACGAGAGAATTCCTGTCCCCCAGCCCCCCAGAGGTAAGCGGAGCCCCGGGCCCGCTTCCAGGGGGAGAGGGGTCACCTCCATGATCCGCGCTGGGGGCCTGGGGCCTGGGTGGGCTTTCTCAAGCGAGGGTCTTTGAGTTTGCTCTATCCGGCAGCTGAGCCTGTTCTCAGGGCTTGGTGGAGTGGGATTTGCCAAAAGCCAGTGAGGTTGGAAGCCAGCGGGGGCTGGGTGGCCTTGGAAGAAGCTGGGTGCATTCAGGCTGGGGGCATCCAGGGACCCGAGCAACCCAGCCCACGGGGACCCCGGCGCTGTCTACAGTTCAGCACGGCAGGGCCTCGTGGGCGCAGCCCTTGGGGAAGCCACACCTAGCGTCTCGTCCTCCCAGGCTGGGGTCTGAAAGGGACCCGTCGCTCGCCCGTGCCCAGGAGCTGGAGACGGGGGATGGGCCGGGGATCATCGTTTGGACACAAGGCCTCAGCCTACAGCACACGACTTCCCCCCACGTGGCTCCAAGGGACGTGTGTGCCAGCGGGTGTCTCTGAGGTCCTCTCCTTCTGGGCCTGGGCAGCCTCTAAGCAGTTGCCCCAGGTTTGTGCCCGAGAGTGGCAGAAAACCCCATCGGAGTCCACTGGCTGCTCCGAGGACCATGTGGGCTGGGTGGGGCCCCACCAGGAGCCCCGGGGCCGTGGGCTTGGGAGAGTGGGGCGGGCAGGGGGCAGGGAGGGGGACGCCGGGGACACGGGTGGGGGCCTCGGCATCTGAACGATTACAGGGGGCCTGGAGAGGGGACCGCGGGGCGGGGAGGGGTGCGGCCCGGGGACTGACCACCGCGGGAGGTAGAAATGCAGCTTCCAAGGCCTCCACGGACCCAGCCACCCGGGGCAAGGCTGTTCCGTGGTCCTTGCGGGTCCCCGGCCGCAGGGTGCAGGCTCCAGTACAGGTGGGTGAGGAAGTGAGCCCCTGCCGCCGGGGGGCTCCCCTTCAGGCTCCTCGCACCGTCCTCCCTGGGCCCACTGGGTGGCTTTTATCACATTAAGATGTTTGGCCTGATGGGGCTTACCCGGCTCCGGAGGAACGAAGAAAGGGCCATTGTTCTCCTGGCCCTTGCGGTGTGCGCTGACCTATTTCTGGGAGGCAGTGGCTGACCGTGGAGGTCGCCAGGGTGCACGGTGGAGGTCGTGTTGGCGGGAGGCGCCAGCTGCCCTCGGGGCGCATGGGGGGGACGTACAGTCTGATTTGGTGGGGGGCGGGGAGTGGGGAGCAGGGAAGTCCTGCCAGGCCAGGCTGCTGGCTCCAGCCCTCATCACCAGAAGCACCGTCAGGAGTTGGCTTGTGTGACCTCGGGCCAGGGCTGCCCTTCTGGGCCTCAGTTTCCCCTTTTGCGAGGGAGGGCCACCGAGCTAGGGGGCAGCAGAGGGCGGCTTTGTCCCTGAGTTTAGCAGAGGCTCCGCTGGGCAGGGCAGACACATCCTGCACACGGGCTCAGGGGTCCCCGGCCCCCACTGCGGCAGGTCTCTCCCCAGCTCGGAAGCTGCATCACCTCCAGGAAGCCCTTCCTGGCCTCCCACTTCAGTCCCTGTCTCCTGGGCCCTGGCCCAATCCCGTGGTCCCTGGGAGATGGCCAGGAAGTGATTCTCAATTTGCCACCTGCATGGGCGCTGCATTCCCAGGGGGCAGGCTGTGTCCTGGCCTGATGAGGTCAGAAGCCCGAGTCCCCCCAACAGACAGAGAACCCACGGGGCCCGAGTCATCTACATACGCCTTGCCCAACGGTGGCCCACAATGGGGGCTCTTCCTGTCACACTGGCCTGCTGGCCTGACAGAGGGTGCCTGGCCTGATCGGGGGCTGGCCATAGGCCCAGCCTTCTTCCTTTGCTCTGGGCAGCGAGTCCCAGCACCTCCCCATTAGGATATGACCCATGAGGCCTCAGGAAGAGAGCTCCAAATTCCCATCAGTAGGTCCCCGAGGCCACAGACAGAGAGGTGCTAGTGGAGAACCCCCAGATCCCGCATGCCTGGGGTGGGGGTGCTGTGGATAAGATACTTGGGGTCTCTGAGCCTTCTTGTCGATCAAGTGGGGAGATGAGACCATGATGCGGGCATGCTCCCACCCTGCTTGGCACATCGGAGGCCCCAGGGAGTGCTTATGGATCTCTCTCTGGTCGTGCATCTTGGAGAGACCCTGGGACACCCAATCTGGCCTTTGGAGACCTGACCCCCATGGGACCCCAACATGCTGCGGTCAGCAGCCAGAGCTCTGCTCTGGGGGCTCTGTGTCCCCCAGGGTGAAGCCCATGCCTCCAAACACACACACGTCCTTAACGAGCATATGTCAGGCACCCCCCAGGGAGACAGAAGTGCCTATGGAGGTTCCACTCGCTCCAGGAAGGTGAGTGGGGATGCCCCCAGGACATGACTGGAATTGCCAAGTGGCCTGCGGGCACCTCCGGCCTAATCCACTTTCCTTTCAAGGGAGGGATGAGCAGGAGTGTGGAGCTCTCGGCCTGGCTCAGCCCAGCGCCGCCCGCCTAGCAAACTTCGCCTGGACCCAGTCTCCAGGCTGAGTCAAGGTCACCCGTGAGCTCCACCCTGCCGGATCCAACCGCCCACCCCCAGACTGCACCTTACCTGCCTCATCAGTGGCGTCTGGCAGGTGGATCCCTTCCTCCACACTCAGCCTCCTGGCCCTCCTCCCACCGTGCTGGCTGCGGACGCCTCTACTGGCCCTTCTCTTTCCTGACTTCCAGAGGTTGGGTGCCCGCGGTGCAGTCCTGGGGCCTCTGCTCCTTTCCTTCCACACTCCTCCCCTTGGAGGCCTCGTCCAGTCCCCCAGCATCTACGGCAACTCCCAAGTGTATATGCCTAGCACGGACCTCCTCCCCGAACGAAACCTGGATATCCACCTAATTCCTCAACAAATAGGCATCTCAAATCTCACATGTTCAAAATGAGACCCCTGACTTTCAACCCTTTGCCCCCCACCCTCCCGCCCTAGAACCTATTCCTCTCAGTCCTTCCAGATCAATAAACAGCACACCGGGCCCCCAGATGCTCAGGCCCATGGCTGGGCTCACGCTCAACTCTTCTCTCTCTCCCACATCTCACACCCAGTTCATCACAAATCCTGTGGCTTCATCTTCCAAACACACCTAGAACTGAACGCCCCCTCAGCACCTCACTGCCACCACCCTGCTCTGAGCCATCATCTTCTCTGACCCAAGTACCCTCCTGCCCAGACTTGCTGCTTCTACCCACAGCTTTTTCTCCACAGTGAACCCCATCCATGCCATCCTATCCTCTCATCCCATCCTGTCCCATCCCATCCCATCTCATTCCATCCTGTCCTATCCCATCCCATTCCATCCCATCCATCTCATCCCATCATATCCATCCTATTCCATCTCATCTCATACTCTATCCCATCCCATATCCTTTCCCATCCCATCCCATCCATCCCATTCATCTCATCCTATCCATCCCATCCCATCCTATATCCCATCCCATCCCATCCATCCCTATTCTGCTCAAAGCCCTCTCCCATCTTACAAAGAGAAAAAGGCAAAAGCCCACACAAACTGGCCCCATCCCACTCGTGACTTCTCTCCTACCTACCATCCTCCCCGTCCTCCTATCCTAATTTACTTCGCCTTAGCACTTATCATCCCATCGACTGAACATTTAGCTTGCATATAGTTTGCTCTTTTTTTGCCCATGCTGGAATGTCAGCTCCAAGAGGACAGGACTTTTGTCTGTCTCTGTGCCTGGCACTCTTCTGTACCTAACTGTTGAGTACATGAATGAGTGTGCCCAGTGGTGGCAGGCCCCCACCCTTATAGCCACAGTGGCCTCAGGCCCCAACAGGGGTCCCACCAAGGGCATCTGCATCTGGACTGGCTGTAGCCTCAGTCTGTTTCCTCATCTGTAAATCAGGGCTGTGAGACACAAACAACGTCTCTCTGGTTTTACATCTCCCCAGGGTCCCTGTGAGGATGGGCCGGGCTCGAGGACAGGGCCATCCTCTGAGCGGCCCAGCCACTTCTGGCTCTGGAGACAACAGAGAGGGGTCTGGCCATGCTTGGATGAGCAGGGATTGGCTCCTAAGGAGATGGCATTCGTGACGCAGACCTCTGAGTCCCTAAACACACCGGAGTCTGGCACACAAACACCAGCACAGGCTGGATACCCACGTCGAAGGGAGAGAGTGGAAGACAGGACAGCCTGGTCAGCAGGTCCTGGGTGATTCCCGCTCTGCTGGACTTGGGCACGCCCATTCCTTGGGTGTGGAATGGGAGAGGGAGCTGCCTGGGGTCCTTGAGTCAGGAGGAGAGATTCTTACATGCAGCCCTGGGTGGGGGTGGGGAGTGAGGGGAGATTTCCTTTTCCCGCTGTTTGTTCATCCCTCCATGGTAAAGTGGGGAGCTCAGCAAATCCCAACCTTCCCCCATCAAGGGCTCTGAATCCGGCCCCAAGTTTGCCCAACCCCAGAACAGTATGAAGAAGGGCACTGCCTTGGAAGATTGGGTCCAAATCTGGTTCCAAATCCCAAGTCTACTGCTTGCAAAAGTGTCATGTAACTTCCAACCTCAGTTTCTACGCCTGTAAAATGGGTATAAACACTCTCGTCTTGCAAGGTGGGCACGAGAATCAAATGAGATAAAGAGAGAACGCGATTTCTTAATGTAATAAGGGTGTTTTTCAGAATAAGTATTAGATGCAGCGGAGTCTTACGCAGGCCCTGCCCGGCTGGCTCCCGTTCCCCCAGGCTGGCCCGTTCCCCTCCAGGTGTGCTGGCTGGGGCCAGCAGGTGCTATTCTAAACACACTTCGGTGGAGCCTTACCCCTTCCCCACCCCCACAGCCCTTCCGACGTTCCTTTCCTGAAAGCCCCACTGGTGGCTCTTTGAAGTTTCGGAGATAGCAAGTGCAGGAGCTGGCAACAAGAAAGACTGTGGAGTAGACATAAAGTCCTCAAGGCTTTTAGAGCTAAAATATGACACTTGGGAGACTTTTATTTTTATGTTGGCCAGGTTCCCCAGGCAGGAGGGTGGGATGAGATGTGGGAGGTGGACTCAGAACAGCGCATGGGGAGGGGGCGAGGTCTCCAGGGCAGTGCAGACCCTGACTCAGCCCACAGAGGCCTCCTCCCTCGTCTCCTGTCCCCTCTCCCCTTCTCTGTCTCCGGCCTGCTGGAATCCTTCAAAGCTCCCTAAGCAGGGTCGCAGGACCCCACCACTCAGTGCCCTATACTGGGGTCAGGTCTTCTGGGTTCTCTTCCTGAGTCTGCCACCCTTGGCCAAGTCACCTCTTGCCCCTGCTCGGCCTTCAAGGCCTGGAGGCCCGGGGAGCGGTGGACCTGGAACAGCAGGGATGGGCTGCAGAGTGGGGGCGCTGCAAGGACAGAGCTGGGGTGCACGAGACTATTCTTACGGTCAGTCCTGCAGGCGGCATGTGATGGTGGAGCTAGCCTCCTCCCTCCCACCGCCATCCCCAGGGCTCTCTTTCGAGGAGAGGGGAGCCAGCGGCCTGTACCTGACCTGACATACATGGGATGCGGGAGGACACAGAGTGGGAATACAGCTCAAGGATGGCCGCTTGGCCGAGACAGCCGAGGAGGAGCTGTGTCTCTCCCGGCACCTTCCTGGCGCTGTAGCTGGCTCCAGACATGGCCAGCCTCCTGACTCCATGCTCCATCCATCATGCGTGGGCTTCCCCTTCCCGGGGACACACATCCTAGAGAGGGTGTGGGCCAGGGCAAGACTCTAACCAGTATCCTGGCCAAATCCCTGACCAGGAGATAGTCGAGCAAGGATAAGAAGGTCGCAGGAGCAGCTCCCAGAAGATTCCATTCCGAGGGCAAGTGGATGAGACAGGGGAGCTACCTGCACGGGGTTTGTGTTCTAGGGCAACTTTCAGTGTGAGTGGGGCGATGGCCAAGAGCCGGATCCCAGCCCTGGCTCAGGAGCTCCCAGTGTGGGGGCAGAGGAGGAGGTGAAGACTCCAGTCTGCCGTCTGAGCCTCTAACTTTCTCCATCTCCAGGGGTCTGAGCATGTGTGGGCAGCGGGTGCACAAGGAGACCCCGCTGGCTGGGGAGAGAAAGACCTGGCAGGCAGTAGAATGAGGGCAGTCACGACCGCTCCATTCATCCGCCCCATCCGCGTCTCCTGGGACACGGGATGGAACAGACCACTCCCAGGAGGGTCTCTAAGGCACTTGGTGTGGACGCAGGTCTGGGTTACCTAGTACCCAAGGTGTCAGCACTCACGACTTAGGCCTTGTCCCCTGAGCCCTCTGCCTACGCAGAAGCCCCCATATGGGAGCGAGACACATGGACCCATCCTCAGGTGGGGAAGATGGGGCCAAAGGCTACAGGTGCCTGTGGGGATCCCAGCCCACGAAGCAGGTGGCTTTTCTGCAGGTTTGGTATGCCCTCCCCATCGCCGGCTTCCCCGTCATGACCACTCCACTCTCTCCCCAGAGTTTTGGTTTGCCACCAAAACTCTGCAATAGTCATATACCCTGAACCTATTTCCCCTCTGGGCTGGCTCTAGGTAGAGCCTATCCAGTTTACCCACGGGGTCTCCTGCTTTGGGAGGATAAATCCCCCACCCTGCATGGCGCCTGTACCCCACACGCAGTAGATAGAGACTCACCTTGAGCCCCAGCCCAGAACCTGGAGCCTTCACCTGGGAGCCCCCACTCAGTCCCCATACTCACAGGGCTCCCGCACTCCAGGCAGGGTCATAGTCCCCTCCCTTTCACGGAGCGCAGTTTGCCTGGCGGAACCCGCAGCAGCGGAGGGATCCCCGCGGCCGATGGACCTGCACCCCGGCAGGTGCGCCTGGGAGGTGGGCCCCAGCCGTCCTGCCGCCGCGGCTGGGGAGACTGGGCAGGTGCTCCGGGCATCCCCCGCCGCAGGAGCGCCCCAGCACCCGGAGCCCTTGCCCCCCCCCCCCCCCGCCGCTCTCACCGATGATGATGGTGCAGGCGCTCAGCAGCCCGATCTCCTTCTTGAGCGCCACCCGCTCCGAGGCGCCGGGGCCGGGGCAGGGCGAGGGTGCGGGGCCGGGGTTCCCGCGCCCGCTCGGCTGCTGCGTGTGGCCGGCCATGTCGCTGTGCCGCCGCGTCCCCGCTCCCTGCGCTGCCCAGGCTGTCCGACCGGCCGCCGGTCCGTCGGTCCGTCCGTCTGTCCGTGCGCTCGCCGCCCTCGCAGCCCGGACAGCGCCCACAGGCGGGCGCATGCGCTGGCGCGGGGCCCGGACTCTGGGCCCCCGGCTGCGGGGTGGGGGGTGGGGGGTGGGGGTGGGGGGAGGGGGGAGGACCGGCGGGCAGCCCCCTCCCCCACCTCCCTTAAAGGGAACCGCCCCCACCCCCCTGCCTGGGAAGGCCCGAGAGGACTTGGGGCAGACCTAGGAAGAACTTTCTAGCCCAGGAAGAGGGCCTCCCCTGCCTGAGTTACATCTAGTCGTGGGGTGGGGGTGGGGGTGGGGGTGGGGGAGCGGGGCTCAAAGGCAAGGCTGTCCCTGCCCTCGAGGAGACTGAGGCAGCCGGCAGGAATAGTAGCTGGGCCCTCCAGACCCCTCAAATCCTGCCCCCACCCCCACCCCCAGCGCGCTCCTGCGGGGAGGAGCGGGAGGAGCGGGGAGGAGCGGGGAGGAGCGGGGAGGAGCGGGGAGGAGGCTGGAGGCTGGAGGCTGGGTCCATTCTACAGGTGCAAGTTGAGGCCCAGAGGTACGTGAGGAGGATCCCAGAGCAAGTGGCGGGGTCCAGACGGAAACCCCAAGGATGCCTCCTTGGCTTCCGACGGTGGGGGTGGGGGTGGGGGTGGGGGTGGGGGTGGGGTGGGGGTGGGGTGAGATACAGCCCCAGGAGGGGTGCGTCCCGGGAGCCCTCGGAGGAGCAGGGGACTCACGCGCCCATCATCAGAAGCCTGGCCTCTACCCCCCGCCCCAGCCCTTAAGGGAGGGAGCCCCGGGTTGTGCGCCCTCTGCCCGCCCCGCCGCGCTCGCCCTGGACAGCTCTGGCAGGCTCCACCTGCAGGTAGATGCCCGGTCACAGGTGAGGGGGCGCGCTCCGTGGACGAGAACCCGCGCGTTGCGCGGAGGCCCGGAGAAGGGGGCTGTGGCTCCGGAGGTCGCGGAGGAGGCCGGGAGCGCGGGGTCCCAGCGAAGCCGCCTCCTCCCGGAAGCCCTCCGGACTGGGCGGCCCCAGCCGGCGGAGCAGACGCAAGGGGGGCGGCGGGCGGGGCGAGCCTGGCACGGTGCGGCCGGCGGCGGAACAGCCTTTGTCCCTTCCTGGCGGCCGCCGCGCCGCGCCGTCCCCTGCATGTGGATGAGGCCCTCGGCCCGGCCCCGGGGCTGGGGGGGCGGGGGGGCGGGGGGGCCGGGCCCGACGGCCCCCCGTGGGCTGCGGGCGGAGCATCCCGCTGCGAGCCGGGCGGTGCCGGGAGGTTGGCGGCGGAGGGGCCTGGGAAGCGGGGGGCGGGGGGCGGGGATCCGGGGGTGCAGGGCGACCCCGGGGAGTGTTGGGGGGACGCGCGGGGGAGGCCACCCGCGAAGCCTCGTCGGAGTCCCGCATTCTTGGCGCCCTCTGCCTCCCGCCCCAGAGACGCGTTCAGCAGCCGCTTTCTTAAAGGAGCCCCGCGCAGGGCCCGGGGTGGGGGCGGGGCGGCTGCCGAGGCTCCCCGGGGACTTGGGGGTGGGGGTGGGGGGCTGGGGGGTCGGCCTGCTGGCTGGCTTGACTCTGCCCGCTTAGTTGCCTTTGCAACAATGGGGTCCGCCGGGAGAGGGTCCAGCCGGGGGCCCAGTGCGCTCAGCAGGTGGCCCGAGCCTCAAGCACCTGCCAGGAGCCTGTGGGGTTTCGAGCAACGCTCCTGAAATGTGGAATACGCCTTTGAAGGGAAGGAGTGACTCCAGGGCACTGGTAGGATGGAATTTGCATGTTACTGTCCAGATCTATAGCTCAAGAGGGTATTTTAGTGGAGTGGAACTAGAATCTGCAAAGCCCAGTGGGAATCAAAAGTTGGCCAGACTGGTTTGCCATCCCAGAGTCAAGAAGTACAATTCCCCACATTTACAGAAAAAAAGCAAGGAAACCCATAAGATCTTCTCAATAGATTCAGAAAACAGTCGTCTGTGATTTAAACCACCAAAAGAACTCCTTTGCAAATTAGAGACAGAAGAGTAGTTCTTCCGTCTGATAAAGGTTTCAGTCCAATCCCCAAGCCCGCCAAGAAACAGATATACGAACCCCCACCCCCAAACCTTACAGCTAATATCACGTTTAATGCTGAAATGTTGAATGCTTTTCCACTGAGGCTGGAAACCAGGAGGAACGTCAGCACTCGTCAACACTGTGCTGGAGGCCCTGCCAGTGCAATAAGGCAAGAAAAAGAAGTAAAAGGGCTCACCTTTTAGTCACCCAAATTTGGAACAATGACCACACTAAATGCTTGCGAGGACGTGGAGCAACAGTGACCCTTATTCATTGCTTGTGGGAAGGAAAATGGTATAGCCACCTCGGAGGACAGTTCGGCAGGTTTTTTTTGTTTTGTTTTGTTTTGTTTTTTTGTTTTTGTTTTTTTTTTTAGTTTGGCAGTTTTTTACAAAACATATTCGTAGCATACAATCAGCAGCCCTACTTCTTGGTATTTACCCAAAGGAATTGAATACTTATGTCCACGCAAAAGCCTGTGCATGGATGTTTATAACGGCTATGTTCCTAAGTGCCAAAACTTGGAAGTAACCGAGATACCCTTCGGCAGGTGAGCGGAGAAATTGTGGTACATCCACAGGGCAGAATAATATTCAGTGCTAAAAAGAAATGAGCTGTTCAGCTATGAAAAGACAGAGGAGAAAGCATAAATGCATGTTACTGAGTGAAAGAAGCTAATCTGAAAAGAAATAGAGAGGTGTGGAAATAGGAAAGAGACATAAAACTGTCTTGTGTCTCAGTTAATTGTCTGAGTCTTGATTTTGGCTCAGGTCATGATTTCAGGGTCGTGAGATCGAGCCCTGCATTGGTCCCCATGCTCGGTGGGGAGTCTGCTTTCCATTCTCTCTCTCCCTCTCCCCCTCTTCCCCATGCACTCTCTCTCTCTCTCAAAAATAAATAAATAAATCTTTAAGAAAAAGACATAAAATTGTCTTACATATGACACTATTGGGTAAAAAAATTTAAAAATATATGCAGGGATCCCTGGGTGGTGCAGCGGTTTAGCGCCTGCCTTTGGCCTAGGGCGTGATCCTGGAGACCCCGGATCGAATCCCACGTCGGGCTCCCGGTGCATGGAGCCCGCTTCTCCCTCTGCCTATGTCTCTGCCTCTCTCTCTGTGTGTGTGACTATCATAAATAAATAAAAATTTAAAAAAAATATATGCAAGTAAATTTAAGGTTAAGTAGTTAATTTAGCAAAGTCACTGGATACTAGTTCAATATATAAAAACTAACTGTATTTCTTTTTAAAATAAGATGTTATTTATTTATCTGAGAGAGGGAGACCGCACGAGAGAGAGAGCACAAGCAGGAGAGGGGCAGAGAGAGAGAGAGAGGAGGGAGAGAATCCCAAGCAGACTCCATGCCAAGCATGGAGCTCAATGCAGGGCTTGAGGGAGGCTTGATCCCATCACCCATGAGGCGAAACCACGAGTTTGATGCTCAACTGACTGAGGCACCCAGGTGCCCCACTAATTGTACTTCTATGTACCAGAAACAATTAGAAAATAAAACTCAAAACAGCATAAAAAATCAAATACGTAAAAACAAATCTAGTGAATTATAAGTACACGATTTCTATACGGAAAACTATAAAACATCATTTTGAGAAATTGTAGAACATATAAATTTAGCTGAGGCGTATACTCTGTTCATGAATTAGAATGGAAGATGTTGGTTTTCGTCGAGTTGACCTGCAGAATTGATCTAGAGATCCAAACCATTCACATTAGTCCCAAAGGGTTTCGTTGTTGTTTGCCTGGGTTTTGGGAAGGGGAGAAGGGATGCCGAAATCCGACAAACTGATTCTAAAATATGTGTGAAGAAGAGCAAAGTTGGAGGACTTGCTGCAGCTAACAGCAGTGCAGTAACAGTGCGATGGTAAACGGATCGACCAGTGGCACAAAGCAGGCACGGTTGAAATAAACCCAACCGTCTACAGGCTCCCGGTGTCCCACCCCAAGCTGACATCGTGGGGCAGTGGAGAAAGTCCAGCCTTTTCGATAAAGGGTGCTGGGTCAATTAAGTATCCATACTGAAAAAAAAAATACCCTTCATCTCTACTTTATACCACATCCTAAAACCGAGTCCATGGATGTGCGTGCGAAATGTGCATGTGAAAGGTAAAATAACAAAGCAGCCGGAAGAAGACTTAGGGGAGAGGATAGATTCATTTTCTTAAACAGAACACAGAAAGCACTATTGGTTAAAAAAAAAAAAGAAAGAAAGAAAGAAAGATAAAGAAAAGTGATGAATCGGACTCCGGTAGAATTAGAAATTTCTCTCAATCAAAAGGCATGATTAAGAGAGGGAAAAGTAAGCCACATGTGAGAGAAGTTACTTCAATACATGTTATCAGATAAAGAGCTTGTATCTAAAAAATGTGAGGGGGCCGCTACAAAGCAGTAGGAAGAGAACTTTAAATAGGTGCTTCACGAAACAGGCTGGTAAACTCCTCAACAGGTGTGCAACCTTATTAGTCATCAGGGAACTGCCACTTAAAACCAGAATGAGAGGCTTCTGCACGTTCCCCAGAACGTTGAGAATTGAGCCCCAGTGCTGGCGAGGGCGTGGAGCAGCATGGGACTCCTGCACAGTGCGCGACGGTGGACGCCACCCGACGCCCACCGGCCACGTCTCCCAGCGCCCATGGCCTAGCACCTCCATTCTGTATCAGTTGCCTGTTGGGTACCACCTCAGATCCCCTAGCCTCACCTTGTTCCTTTTTTTTTTTTTTTTAAGATTTTTAAATTTATTTATTCATGAGAGAGAGAGAGAGGCAGAGAAAGGCAGAGGGAGAAGCAGGCCCCATGCAGGTTGCCGGACGTGGGACTCGATCCAGGGTCTCCAGGATCACGCCCTGGGCTGAAGGTGGCACTCAACTGCTGAGCCACCTAGGCTGCCC